TAAATGACACAAAATATTATTTCTTTTCATGGTTTGTATAAACAAGATTTTAGATTTTCGTTTAATAATGAAAATGGTTCTATTAATGCTTTCTTTAATGGTACTTTCTATTTTGAAGCATTGCCTTGTAATGGTATATATGAAATTGTGATGGTTGTAGACAACTTAGGAAATGATGTGTTGCATATCGATTCTTCTAATTGTTTGGATAAAGCATGCTTGTGGCATTGTCATCTTGGACATGTTAACAAGAAACACATAGCCTAACTCCAAAAGGATGAAATGTTGGAGTCATTCGACCTTAGGGACAATGACTCGTGCGAGTCTTGTTTCCTTGGAAAGATAACCAAGTCACCCTTCACTAGTACTTGTGAAAGGGGAAAGGGTTTATTGGATCTCATACATACCGATGGATGTGGGCCCTTTAGATCCACTACAAGGGATGCGAACCGCTTTTATGTGACTTCTACCGATGATTATAGTAGATATGGGTATATCTACTTAATCAAGCACAAGTCAAAAAATTTTGAAAAGTTCAAAGAGTTTAAGAAAGAAGTGGAGAATCACTTGGGCAGGAAGATAAAGATGCTCTGATCTGATCGAGGTGGTGAGTATCTTAGTATCGAGGCATGATTACCTAAAGGAATGCAAAATTGTTTCACAATTAACGCCACCTAGGACACCGCAGTTGAATGGTGTGGATGAAAGGCACAATCGAACCTTGTTGGACATGGTTCGTTCCATGATGAATCGAGCTTTGTTACCTATCTCATTATGGGGGTATGCCTTAGAGACTATCGCCCATATCCTTAATCTAGTCTCGACTTAGAAGGTTGCCAAAACACTTCACGAGATGTGGACAAGAAAAGCTCCCTCGTTGGCACATATCAAGGTTTAGGGTTGCGAGGATTTTGTAAGACGAGAGCCTCACGACAAGCTCTAACCTCGTAGTGAGTGGTGTATTTTCATCAGCTATCCTCAGAAGTCCTTTGGATATCTCTTCTATAGACCGAGTGATAAAGTGTCTTCGTTGCAAGGACGGGAGTTTTCTGAGAGTGAGAACTTATATGCCAAGAGGACAGTGGGACACAAATTGATCTTGAAGAACTTCAAGAATCAAGAAAAGAAGGAACCTCTAACACTGGCACTCAACCCGAGGAAGAAACTCATGTTGAACCGATTAACGAGTCCTTACCTCTTAGATGTTCCAGTAGACTTAGTGCTCCACCTATGTTGTATGGTTTTCATATAACAAGTGAAGGTGATACGTTTATTAGTGATAGTACACTAATAAATTTGGATGAACCTAACAACTACAAGGAAGCTATAGCAGGCCCAGAGTCTGCAAAATGAAAAGAGGCTATGGACAATGAGATTCAGTCCATGTATGAAAACCATAGAAGGAACCAACCTACAGGGGCAAAACGGGAAATACATTAATAATACCCATTTTCACAAAAAGACAGATGATTGATAATTATTGCCAATAATACCTTCTCCACTATTAATGTAAGCTTAAAAGTCAAATATAGCTCTGTGATCAAAGAAGAAAACAAGCTCCCGTATTCTTTGTACAAAAAGAATCTATACCAAATTGGAGCAGGTAAAAACGCACGATATAATAGAAGGGTATATTCGACCAAAGTAAACATTTGACCCTAAAATACCAAAAATGCCATTAGAAAGTTTTAAAACTTAAATTGAAGTTATATTAAGTTACATGTCTATGAAAATTATGACCCCTGCCATTTTTATAGTACATAAGGAGTACTAACTTTGAAATCATTGCTGCTTGTCGCACCATTGTATCTAAAGGCAATAAATTTTCATAAAGAATCATCAGATACTCATTTTACACATCATATAATCTTTATTAAAGATGCAATAATGAGATAAATTTCATAAAATTTACGATTATTATGAAAATGGCATGCCAGAATGGTGGGATTGCTTTTGAGGGGTTAACGATGGAGAACTAAGATCATCGTTTTGATACCACCAGTATACTCCAATTACATGAAGTGTAAAGATTATACTATAGCTTATGAGAACAGACAGTTTTCTCTCCCTTTGTAAAATTCATCAATTATTAAGCAATTATTAAGCTTAATGGGTGTGTTATAAATTATAATCATTTAGTATTAGTGGTATTCATACCTTTAAAGTTGTTTGTTTTCGAAGAATGTCATTTGACTTGTACATGAAAGCAGTTACATAGATTGTTACAAAGAAACCTAAAATCAATCATGAATGAGTAATCAACAATGGTATTTGGAAAATAATAGATAATTAAAGTAGAAAGTATATGGTTAGTTTCAGCTTTGAGTACCTTGCAAGTGTTGACGAATGAACACGACAATTAAGAGTAAGGATAACAGAAGAATCTGCTCAATCCACCTCGAAACTTGCTGCAAGTCATACATTTGTTGATTTGATGAATCATTGTTACTGTTAGCCTGTTACTATTACTCCCATTAGCTCCACTCCTGTCATCCATAATTATGATTCTTTGAAGAAATATACTATTCCAACATTTTTGTGTGTTAAGTTAATTATCATCATGATGCTAATCATCTTAGTATTATTAAAGTTATTTGTTGCCTAAGTTCCTTATATATTGTTTTCTCTTTGTTTCTTGTTCCATTTAACAAAGATAATATGTTAAATATTCATAAATTGAGTTTCACATAAATAATGAAGTAGACCTAGAAATAGATTAATATCCAAAATTTGACCAAATTCTCATCTCCAATCTTTCTTCGATGTGGTAATCCAAATGCAAATTTATACCAAAAACTATTAGTAATGCTTAGGAACCATGAAAAGTAAAAGAAAAAAACCTTTTGCTTAAAAAAAAGTGGAGGTGCCCCTCAACGTTTAAGATCAAAGAACCATGTTTGACTTCACGGTTAATATAGAAAGACATTTTGATTATATCCCTGGAACATGCAATCAACATAAAGACTTAGTTTATTTGAACTACAACATCCTAAAAACACACAAATAGTAACACAAACCCACGTTATTTAATAGTTTTGAAAGTAAATTTTGTGAGAAAAAAAGTTCTCACATGCATTTTATCAAGCGCATAGAGTGCACCATCAATCCATCATATTCAAGTTTTCTATTAGCACATCCTGTATGATATTATTTATTATGCTAGGTTAAGAAGAAAGAACTAAGTGATGGATCAAACTAATGCTCAAATTTAGAATCAAGAACAAACTAAATTAACACTAAAATATAAGAAGACCAGATTAAATAACAGACCTGGATAGACAACAAATTGTAGAAGAAGAGCAATATCGATGTCGAGGATGACACATTTGAGGCAGACGGAAAAGAGAATCATCAATTTGGGGGTAAATCGTAGATGGAGGTAGAAGCATACCATGAGTAACGATAAAGAAGGCAAGAAGAGATGGAAGCAACATTGTTTATAGTGGGGTTTGTTGCCAGTGGGTGGAAGACGAAGGGAATGCATCCAATGGTGGTGTCATCTAGGTTTTAGATCGAGAAAATGGGAAATATACAAAATCAGCATATCAGATATCTATTTACAAGCGGAGTATATTGTTGATTGATTACTGATTTTCAGCTCCAAAATTGGAGTGCAGGGACGAAGGAATAGACAAATTGAATTGTGCCGATTTTGCTGAGTGGTGAGTAGAAACGACGAAATGGGTATTTTCGGGAAATCACTTTGAAATTTGGGCGGGAAAAATCAATTTTGTGGGGCTAGGAGAATGTCACGTGGCAAAAATGTACTTCTTTATTAGATTATTTTTTTACCAATGAGCCTATGATTTTGTCAAAATAATTTCGTCGATCTAATTTGTCATCTCTATGTTTTAGATGTAACTAGCTTTAAACGTCGATGTTCATCCCCTTAATTTATCATCCATCTTTTTTTTTTTTTTTAATCTAAGTAGCTTCAAACAGAGAAAAATAAGAACCCAAATCTTCAAACATTTGAAGAAGATGATCATGATTATGGTTAGGGATGAGCATAGGCGGGTACCCGCCTCATTTTTCGAGAACCGGAACCGGCGGTTCCTGGAAAGTCAGAACCGGAACCGGAACCGCTTTAGGCAGTTCTTAAATGTTTGGAACCAGTCTCGGAACCGGCGGTTCCGGTTCTGGGAGTGGGTAACCCAATGACATTAATTTTGTTAACTTTTTTTCGATAAAACTGCAATTTAGTTAATCAATTTGGACCAAAAACGGACAAAATCAGACCAATATATTATAAATTGGTCTAAGTAACACACATATTTATATATATATATATATATATATATATATATATATATATATATATATATATATATATATATATATATATATATATATATATAAAACGGTTCCGGCAGGTATCGAGCGGGTAGCGGTTTAAAAAAAATGAAAACCGGAACCGGAACCGCATAAGGCGGTTCCAGTTCCAAAACCGACAGTTCCGAGACGGTTCCGGTTCCAAAAGTGGATACCCGGTTCCGATGCTCATCCCTAATTATGGTGATGTTTGGCTACTCAAAAATGGAAATAAAAGCAAGTACCTATTACAAAATTTTATCATCCCGTTTGATAAAGAGAGGAAGGAACATGATTCTTCAAGATTGAGAATTCTTATGATATTTGAAATCATGAACATTAACAACCAATTTTCTCTCATGTTTTTGCAATAATCCCAAAAAACCGAAACTTAAAAGAGCGAAAAAATGCTCATCTATGATCTTAGAGATAGAATTCATGGACAAATACAAATGCAGATATTTGGGGCAAGTTTTTATTTTTTTGAAAATGTCCTATTTAAGAATCCCAATACAAAAACCCCATAACCAAGAATCTTGATAACCAAATCAGAATGATCAAAGAATCTGGGATCACCCAGATTTTTAGAACCCTTAACCACACCCAGTTTAGATTAAAAAACAACAACAGAAAAATGAATCACCGATAATCCAAATTCAAAGCTAGCAAATTCATAGCATTGATCACAATCAGCCCACAGTATTTACAATTCTGTACGAGAAGAACATGAGATTTTGTAAAGTAATTCAAACAAGAGCGTTTGAATTCATATGTGCGCTTACAGAAACAATATTTGAGGTGGAAGCTACAGAGGGTTGAGCTTGTGAGGGGAATCATCGGCGAACATTACAGGTTTGGTGAGCATGAGGGGACGATCTTTGGCTTCTTCATCATCGTCAAAATCGTCGTGAGAGGTGGCGAGATTGATGCAAGAACAGCGTTCCAGGGAGGCGAAGAACGCTGATGCGACGCTGCTTCCCAACCAAGTTGCCATCCGATCAATCTTGTCGCAAGATTTCACCCCGCAGTTGTTGTGTTCTATCACCGCCTGATGATTGGTTGCCATTTTTGATGTCTCAGGAATCAAACAATTTCTTGACCTAATTTCAGAATGATTTGATTTGGAATTGGGAGGGGAAATGGAAATTCCGAAGCGTCATTTTGTTTCTTGTTGTTGTATTTCCGTTCTGTTACGTAGATCCTTTGCTTCTGTAACGGACGTAATGACGTATTGCCTTAAATCTCCGTTCATTTTTGGGTTATTTGCAAAAACGACAATATTTGGTATTTTTCGAAATAAACAGATGATAATCCGCATTAAATATATTGCATAATAGTAACTATTAAAAAAATATGATTATTGATATTATTAAAATGTGTAAAATATATATTGAAATCGACAAATATCTATAATCGTTAAAGGAGCTGTTTGCAGACAATATTTTTTTAATTAGTTGAACGACATTACTCGTCGTATATGAATATCTTCAAAATCATAGATAATTACATTAGTGTAATTTGACGAAAGATTAATGTATAAAACATTAGAGACAAAACTTTTAATTTTTTTTTCTTGAGGAAGATTAATGGATAAAACATTAGAGACAAGACTTTTAACTTTTTTTTTCTTAGAGGAAGATGAATCCTCACTTGAATAAATCATTTTGTTGTGTTGCTTTAAAAGTTAAATATAAGTATACAAGCATATTGGTAAGTTTTTATTATTTTATATGAGTAAGTAATAATTATAATGAGCAACATTATTTAATAAATAAATGGTTGAAATATTTTTGGAGGGGAAAATTCAGGATTATTAAAAAAATTTATATAAGGAAATACAAATTTAGATTTGGTGAAATTATAGATGAAATTATTAACGACTATTATTTTGGAGGGACCTGGATTTTGTAATGTATAATACTATGACAAAATTCGAAAGAGAAAATCATAAGTATAGCCTAATTACTTAATTAGTTTGTTGAAAATATCTAAAAAAACCCAAATTACAAATATAGTCATGAAAATCGAAGAAGGATTAGTGTTTTTTTTAGTTTTTTTATTTTTATTTTTTTCGTATAAATACTCTCATCTATGACTAAAATCACAGTTGAACTAAGTTCATCTGCGATTTTCTCTCATCTCACTTGCAATTTTGCGTTTTTTTTTTTTGGCTACTAAATTGATAGAGTTTGACTACGAAACAACCTTATTATATATAAAATTTTGCAAACAATTATCACTTTAGTTGTTATTTCTTTATAAATTTGTTTAAAACCTCTTCAATAAAATGAATTCTCGAAAAAAAATGTTTGAAAAATGAAATTGTTCATAGTGCATCAAGAACGAGAGAGTTCTCTAACAAAAAGTTTGAAAAATGAAAGAAAAAAAATTACGTTTTTATACCCCTGAAAAAGAGAAAATCACAGATGGACGCAAAATCACAAATGGACAAGTAAAATCGCAAATGGACTGAGTCCGCGGTTTTGGTGGCTATTTTTGTAATTTGAGTTTTTTTTGTCTATTTTCACAAAGTAATTAAGGGATTATGATATTTTTGTAAATTTCTCAATTCAAATATGTATATTTGTTGTGTAAAATTATAAATTTTATTGTTACTATATAAAGATAATACAAAGTTGGTTGTTATGTTATACAAAAAAAATCACTTTGTTTAGTGTTAATGTTGCTTATAAAATTAATATATATATATATATATATATATATATATATATATATATATATATATATATATATATATATATATACTAGCAGTGTACCCGCGCAAAGCGGCGGGGCGTGTAAATTCTTTCGGTGATATGTTTCCTCTACAAAAATGTTATTTTACAAAAGAAAGTACATGTCGAAGACAAAATAATCAAACTATGGTGTTATTTGGTAGATGAAGTCATTTTTTGTTCCTGGACGGTGGGCTTTATAGCAGAGGAGGGAACAAAGAGGTATATGCGATTGGAAGGATATTTGAATCAACATGCTAAATTTAAGGATATCTAAAAGGGTTCAAAATTTGAATGAATCCGGGATTTGAGGGAACCATATCAAATTGTTGAGAAATATAAGGAGATTTGATGATAAATATTTGAATTCAAAATGTGGTTAAAATTTAATATTATTTTATTAATGGTTACTTGTACTATCAGCTTCATCATTTGGACGTCTTAAAAAAAATAATATTATTATAATCAATCTATTTTTAGAAATAGTTAGATTTCTTTTATAAGATAGTAAAGATATATATATATATATATATATATATATATATATATATATATATATATATAGAGAGAGAGAGAGATAGAGAGAGAGAGAGAGGTTCAAGTGTTCAAAGTAATTATTGTGTTATTATATGCATAAATGTGGACCAATCAAAATTAAATAAATAATTAAATAATTAAATAATTAAATAAGGGTAATTTAGTAATTTGATTAATAACGTCCAAAAATAATTCTTATAATCATGGTATTGACTTTTAACCTAATTCTTCAGGTTTATATCTAGAGTCGTTCCCCTCTTTATCTAAAAAACAAATCTTGTCCGGCATCTGAAACTCACAATTCACAAACCTAATCTATCTCGCTTTCGCACTCCTCTCGCACACATAAATTTGTCTCGCTCTCGTCTCTCGCACACTGCAGACAACACTCGTCTCTCTATCAATCACTGATAATCATGTTCGCACCAGCAATCGACAACACCTTCAATCGCCAATAAGCGGTTCGCCGGTTCGATAACATATAAATATACAAGCGCATGTATTTTTCTACTCAATCTGTTGTCGTTCGCTCATTTGTTACTCACATGCATATACATATATATGCGTTAAACGAACACTGTTTTCTGAATTGGTTTTGAAGGTAACTTTGCGCTTTGGTGTTTGTAGTTTCTTAGTTTCTGTAAATATGTTTCCTTTCTTTGTTAGTTTGCGCCGAAAGCATGCATGTGACATCCCCTATATTCACGGCCAGAAAAAGATCGATTTTGTTTATTGTTTATAAAAATCAGAGTTCTTCTCTTTAATAAAAATGTTGCGGAATTTGTTCCCAGAAAAACATGATAAATACGTTATTAAAACATTTTCGAAGAAACGTATTTTATTCATTTCAAAACGTTTGGGATGTCATCGTTAATACAAAAACATAAGCATAAACAAAACTTACATTTATTTACACTAGTGATCTACATCTCTTTAAATCTCTCAGTGTAATGTGACTTCATATCAACACATGTGATATAAATAAACTGAGTGGGTCAGGTTGGGAAACCTGGTGAGTACATAGGGTTTTCAACCCACTATAGTATAATTATTATGTTTAAACAATCAAACAATCAACTCAATTACCCATCCCCATTATCTTCTTTATTCTTAAGGATCTACCATAAGAATCAGCTATTTCTCATTCATTTATTCCTAAGAATCATCCTAAGGAAACAATATGAAGTCCATTGTTGCCAATGACACATTGGTCAAGCCCAGCTGCTAATCTTGTCACTTAGGCGTAGCTGTCAGAATTGGGACATTTTCTATGAGGCGCTTCTGTTGGTATTGACCTTTAAATGCTACTGTCATGGTCATAAGGTTCCCTATTAGGCGCAGCTGCCAATACTGTCCTTAGAGCGCAGCTACTAGGACGTTTACCGTATCTGAAACATCTACGGGTTGTGGCGCAGCTGGCAATGCTCATCTATAGGGTACTAGGTCCACTGTTGCCAATGTATACATATAGGGCACTAGGTACATGCTACTAATGTTCCTCTATTTTAACTTTTATCCCTCATCATTCATCTACCCATGTTTTACCCAACATATTTTTTAGATATAAAATATTTTATACAGTTTACATCATTTAAAACATGTATAATTTTTTTTTTCACCAGCATAGACAGCAAATATTCAGACAATATACACACATAACACGTAACTTATGATAAAATACTTCATATCTATGTGTAAGATGAAAGGGACCATGCACTCACCTGAAAGGTGGTGACTCGGCACTCGGATAACGCTTCGATACTCTCAAAACGATTTTCCTTTGATAAAACCTAGTACCAATACCACTAGGGTTTAGTCTAACGATAACCACGACAATTTAATTAGTCTGACTATTATTATTATCATATAAGCGTTAATAACACTCAATATAACTCATAATAATAGCCCAAATAATTGTTTTAAGGACCTAATAACATTCCTATAATTATTTGAAAGCTATATTAAAAACTGCGTAAGCGTAGCACACTTACAGTGAATTTTATCGAAAACCGGAACTTTATTTGGAGCAGCGTTTCGAAACTGAAAGACCCCTTTTTCTCGGGACTCCGGAAGCCTCGGGGCTTCCTTAGGGTGCTAGGGGATTACCTAGACTTTAGGGATGGTTAGGGGGTAGTGAGAGAAAGTAGAGAGAGAAAGTTGTGGTGGAATGTGTGAAAAATCCGAGAACCTTCGCTCCCCTTTTATAGGCCGCAACCTCGGAAGTACGTTGGGCGTACAACAGCATTACACTACGCGTAGCTTCGGATAAGAGGGCCGGTTCACATCCAGCTGTCTCGCACGTGGCTCGCATCGGAACCGGATAAGATCGGAGGTACGCGGGGCGTACCGAACCTCGTACGCGAGGCGTAATGCGAAGGGCGACGTGTCGTAAATCCGAAGCGAAGCGTGATCAGCAAGCGACGGCCCTGATTGAGCCACGTCATCACCCTCACAACAGATTTCGCAAATTCACTTTCTGACTTCTAAAAATCATAACTTTCGTATACGAGCTCCGTTTTCGACGTTCTTTATATCCACGTGAAGGTGGGAACGTACTCTACAACTTTCGTTTAGACTCTGTCGGCTAATTCTGAATCAATTTTAAATTTTATATTATTAACAGACCGGGACAGGATTGGTCTGTTAAATCCTCATAACTTCTTTATCCGACGTCCGTTTTCTCCCATCTTTTTCTCGTTACGCTACTCTTAACGAGATCTTTGATTCCCGTTTAGGTCATGTAGGCCAAAAACCGCTCGATCTAATATTCGAATTTCGGGCTGTACACTACTAG